AAAGTTGAGCTGCTTGAGAACATGTGCTTCTGTAGTGAGACTGGAAGCTTCCTTTCATGTGTGTGCTACACACATCTCAGTATCTCTCTGATTTTCTGCTTACTTATGCACGTTCTTAGAGATAAGAGATACAGAGTCTCTATCAGGCTTTGGCCTGTCTTGTCGGGTGTATTGCCCCCACTGCAGAAACTTACCTCCTTAAAATCTTACGCTTTCCTTCTTTTTAGTTAAATGGTGAGGAAAAGGTTCTGGAGAGCTGCCTTTCCCTGGGAGGACACCGAGCTCCTGTTGTCACAGTGGATTGGAGCACAGCCATGGACTGCGGGACCTGCCTCACTGCTTCTATGGATGGGAAAATTAAATTAACAACCTTACTGGCTCAAAAGTCTTAACCTGGACAGTACTGAAGGGGGAAGGAGCAATAGACCTGACAAGACCAGTGTTAACTCACAGGAACAAACTGCATGGGAGAGAAGGCAAAGTCCCTCTTCTCATTGTAGCTTTTGCCTCTTGATAAATACATTTGCCAAACCGCTGTGCAACAGAATACCAGTATGGGACTGGGTCAGTGGTAGCACTGAAAAATAAGTCTCCACTAATCCATTGTGGCAGCTGGACTTCCCTCTGTTAGGGAGTCTTGAGTATAGCACATGGCTAAAAGGCTGTGGTCATGTCAGGGTTCTGCAGAAGAAGGTGAGGCTGGAGGAAGCAAGCATGAGGCAGCACAGTGCATGACAATAAGATGACTCAAACTGGAAAGGCTGATGAGAAACCAGAGTATTCTTTGGGTATAACATTTGTTGTTACAGTTTTGTTAATTTGTTTTTTTTTTTTTTTTCCGTAAAAAGAAAATATTCCCTTGCATTTGAACTCTATGCTTTGTTCATCAGTTGCTGCAAAACATCGAGGGTGGTGAGGGCAGTGATGTGCCAAGTCTTCTGCATGCAAAAAAGCCCTTGTGTTTTCAGCAGGTGCTTCCAGCACCAAAGCTGCGTACCAGGGTGCTGCGTCTCCCCCTCGAATCCACAGGAACAGGTCCCCTGTGGACCCAGCCAGCTGGGCAGTGGGGCAAGTCAGGCAGAGGGAAGGAACTTCTCTTTGGATTGGGGGGCCTGGAGAAGTTCAAAGACGAGCTGGTCCCACAAGCACAGGAAAGAGGCGCTCTCTCTCAGGATTAGTTCCAAAGTTTAATGAGGGCCTGGAGAGATCCCAAGCCACATCTGACCTCAAAGGGCATCCAGAGCAAGAGTGGGAGGTCCCCGCCCAGAGCAGCCAGATATAGGGGGGGCGAAACCCGAGCAGCCAAAGGGGGAAGGACATGGGAGTGGTTCTCTGGGGGCACGGCCTCAGAGTGACCACTGAGGAGGGGGTGGGGGAGGAGTCCCAGCCAGGGTCCAGTTACCTGGTGACCCTGCCAGAAGGGTCTGGACAAAGGGGAAGGGTCATCAGGTGATGGACACATCACCTGGGAGGAGACAGGGGGAGGCAGGTACTGATGGGAAAGCTGGGATGAACCAAACAGATACAAAGGGGGTATGGAGGGACACACCATGAGGGGATATACAGTGCAAACACAACTCTACACCAGGGTGAACCAGACATCCAGGACCAAAAATAACTGCATTTGCTTGGATGTATTATGTTACCTTGCCAAAGGTATCTGCTACCAACCAGAGCAGAAGTCCTGAGTCAGACTTTGAAATACTTGTGTTGGAGTTCAGAAGCTACATAATGCTTATCAGCTACCTGATGGTGGATAGGGGGAGGGAGGCCAAGATCAGTCTGGCCCTGTATAGGGCTCTCTGTCACTCAAGTTGACTCTCCCTCTAAGCCCCCCGACATCAGGGCAAGTGCTGTGCTCAGGTATTGCATAGTCTTTGAATGGACTAAGCAGATACATTCCATCTGCTTACACCTTGCCATGGAGCTTTCTGCTGCTTATGTCCATGGCCTGTGTTGGGAGTTTGTGGTACTGTTGTTCCTTGGCAGAGCATACACCCTGCTGGACAATGAAGAGCCATTCATGAGCCATATGGGTAGCCATACTCATAGACAGCTGTTCAAGGGCAACACTGCTGGATACTGAAATCCTCACTAGAAGCATGTTCATGCTACAGGCACCTGTTGTCCATGGAGTAACTTGCTCCTGCTGACTACACTCATCTGATAACCCCACCTTCCATTTTGCAAGATTAACAGGTCCCCTGCCAGACCAACATCTAAGTACAGGGTTTCCACCTCAGTGAGATGTGATACTAATGGTGCAGCTGCTCTTCATGCCAGTCTGAGCTAATGTCCCCTCAAAACCAGTGCTGACTTCAAACTGACTTCAGGAATTTCCAGGGTTGGTCTTAGAGTTTAGAGAGCTCTCAAACGGGAGCCTTTGTTTGCCTCTGAAAAGGCCAAGAAAGATTGTGGCTGTATTCCAAGCCCTGCAGTATTGACTACATTGCATAGGGGTTTTAGAATTTATAATTACAAAATTACAAAAAGGTCTGGGTTGGAGAGGACCTAAAGTTCTTCTAGTTCCAACTCTGCAATGAGCATGGCCACGTTCCACTAGACCAGGTTGTCCAAAGCCCCATTGAACCCAGTCTTGAACACTACCACACCTTGCTCTCTTCCAGATGTTATCTCCCAGCCCTCACAGAGGGTCAATTGAGATTTCTGGAGAGAGACTGCTTTCAGGTTTGCTTCATAAGAAGGACTAAAAGCAAAACAAAACCCCCCAAACAGGGAAAGAAAGTATAAAAAATATGCACCAGTCCAAGGCTGCTAGGCAAAATGATGCATTAGCACAACATTGATACTGTGCCAGAAGCCTGGAGGGAAGGAACGAACATGTTGTTTTGCTAGACCAATGCTCAACATGCTGTATTCCCAGAAGGGCTTTTACTCCATCCTTGGCCCAGGCTCCCCTCTCTCCCCGTTTCCCGGCAGGAGTCCGCGCCGCTCCGGCGGTGCTGCCGGGCGCCCCGCGCTGCCCTGCGCGCCCGGGCCTGCAGAGGGTGCCCCGGCAGCGGCGGGCGCGCTCGGGCGGCACCGAAACCGAGCGCTCGGGGGCGGCGCGGGGCGCGGCCCGCCAGGCTGCCCCCGGGGCTCGGAAGCTGGCACGCGTCGTTCCAAACGTGCTGTCTGCTCCGCAGCTGGCCTAGCGCCATGTTTCCTCCTTGGCGGAATAGCGTGGGACGAGCGGCCTCGCGGACTGCCTGCCTGCCTGATCAAACACGGGGCTCTGCCGTGCCTCGGGATTAGGGCGGCCTGGGGCTGCTTTCCCAGCTGCCCCGCACACCGGTCGGGCGAGGAAGCAGCCTCGGTGTGACGGGCGGAAGGCGCTCCGGCGGCACCGCCCCGCCCGGGCATGGCGGCGGGCGCGCGGCGGCGGCAGCTCCCGGCCTGGATGGGGGCGGCGGGGGACGAGCGGGCGGCGGCGGCCCCGGCGCCCAGGGCCGGGCGGCGGCGGGCGGCGGCGGGGCGCAGGTAGCGCCTCTGGGGCGAGGCGGCTGCCGGGGCGGCGGGCCGGAGGGCGAGCCGGAGGGCGAGCCCGGGCGCTGCCCGCGCTCAGCGTCCCCTGTGCACTGCCCAGGCCGGCGGCGCTGTACTGCATGAACGAGGCGGAGCTGGTGGAGGTGGCCCTGGCGATCCTGGCCGAGGTGAGCCGCGACCTCCGGAGGGGGAGATGCGGCCCTGACTGTACCGGAGCTCGGCAGGGCTCCGGAGGACGGGCAGGGAGCGCTGCTGCCCGCGGCCCCCCTGCGGCCCCTCTCTAGGCGGGTCGGAGGGCGCTGCCGGGTGCCGCAGCCCCTCCCGGTCCCCTGCTCTCTGTCCCAGCAGCGCGGCTGCCTTTGCACCCTGCCGGGCGCCGCGGAGCTGAACCGCGGGCCCGGCGCCTGGCGATGGGATGGTGGGCTGCCCTCCTACTCCTTAGGGTGCTCCCGGCGTGAAGCCATGCACGGCCGGCACTTGTCTTTTTCCCTCTGGTCAGAATCTACAGTGCGAGGAAGGTGAAGAGAATGCACGGTCCAGCAGCGAAGAGGAGCAGGAGCTCCCGCCAACACCGAACGAGGCTCCTGGAAGCACGGCCAACAGGGATGGAGGCAGTGACCACGGTCCGGCACTTCCATGCCCTCCTGGTGCTGGTGCTGACGCAGAGAGGACAGACGGGGAGAACTCTGAGGACGATGTCCTGAAATACGTCAGGGAGATCTTTTTCAGCTAACATGTCTGACTTCTCGAGAGAAGAGGGCACAATGGGGAGGGTGTCTCCTCCCGCGGCCCTGAGAACCGTGGGAGGAGGGCTGTGCATCCATCTGCTGTGTTAGTGCCCTGTGTAGCTGGCAGGATACCCAGGAAGGCCAGAGGGGGAAAGAAAGGAGGTACTCAGTTCTCCCAATCTATGCTGGGCTTGGTGGGATTTGGCTCCAGATTAGAATGTGTTTGTTTCTGTTTCACATTTCAGAGCATGGACAGATTAAAGAGGACATTTGTGTTTATGTGAGTATGCCTTTGGTGGGTTGGGGTTGGGCATGGAGGGGAGCAGGGAGTTGCTGACCTGGAACACCTTTGCTGGCAGAGCTACATGGCCACGGTTCAGCCTTCAGGCTCCCTTGTCCTTGTGGTCCCTCTGTCATAGCTGCAGTGGGGCCTGGCAGGCTGTTCCCATTGGGCCTGGTGCTGAGTTTGCCTCCAGACTCCAGAAGTCTTCCCAATGCTGAGAAAGACGTGCAGGAGCAAACTGGCAGGGGCTGGGACTGCCCTGAGGGCGCTGACCCCATGGCAGTGTGCATAGGGGTCTAGAAAGGGATGAGGATGGCTCAGTATCCTCTTCCCAGTCTAAACAGAGGACAAACAAACCATATGAGGCTGGCTGTGAGATTATGTATGGAAATGAAGAATCGGTCACATCAGCATCACCAGCCTCATCCCCACCAAGGCAGGAGAACCAAGAGAAAACAGACCCTCATGTTCCTTGAAACAAATACACTCAACTGCAAAGAGTATCATTGTTAAGCAGGCATTCTTTATTTACGCAAGTCCTCCCAGCCACTGGATGAATTAATGCAACTTATACTTACATGGCTGTTACATATTCATTACACAGAAAAATCAATAACATAAAATGCCTGTTTTGAAAAATTATATGAACCATAGTTAACTATTTCAGTCTTTTCTGCCATCTAATGTCCTTTAGGGGTTATTACTGCCCCCTGTAAGGGTTTTGGTGGTCATTTAATCGTCTTTATCACTTGTCCTTTTATTGCACTTTCTTAGTTGGTGCATGCTCAGTCTGGTATCTTGTTTTCAAACTGTTTTCAAACTGGCTCTTTCTGTGTTATTTCTGTATTGTCCTAAATGGCTTTCTTCACAGCCTTGAAGGTTGGTTGTTGATTGGCTGCTTATATATTTTAAGTGATATAGATCCAGTCTGCTTACAAAGAAATTAACACTTTGGTTACATTTTCCTGAACACTGGTTAGTTCCTAGTTAAACATTATCTACAGATTGTGTTTTTAAACTCCCTTTATCTTTTTTATATGGTAGGGTACAGTATTAAAAGCATTTTGTTAGTTAATTACAGATTTAATCATATACTATGAGATACTAGCAACTTTTTTTACTTATACTATGTGTGAGCAGAGGGCTGTGTCCACTGTATGCTAGTTCTGCTACCTTCACTGCTCTTTGAGGCCACTGCTCTTTGATCTGCGCCCCAAACTGAGGGGTGTTACACCTTGTTGCACCTGGGAAGCTTTTGTGCTGTGGCTGTTGGTGTCTGCTGCCAGCTTGATGCAGGAGTGCTGCACACAGCATTGTGCCAGAGTATGGCTCGACATGAGCCTTTGCACTGGGAATCAGATTTTTGCTAATGAGTAAAGCTCTGTTTGGATTACTATTTTAAATAGCTCTTGCATCTTCTTCACTGTCAAATCTTAGGGCCTCCTCAGTTAAATGGTTTTAACACATATGTGTGTATTTGGCCCAGTTGAGGTACACAGTGGTAGTGAGAGTCTGGAGCAGTAGCAGAGCCTGAGTCCCAAGCAGTGCCAGGAAGCCTCCAGTGAAATCAGAGGGATGAATCCACTGCGAGGTTTGTAAAATAAACATACCCAGGCCTCCAGACAGCATTATCATATTGATGAGGGGTATGGTGCAGATCATCTTCCATTCCTCTCTCTGCTCTGTGCAAGTCACATTTAAAACAAAAGGGAGGTGGAAGAGGATGAAGACCAGGCAGGTATACACACAAACCCTGGCTAGTCCCAGTTGTAGCAGACTGATGCCCATTGCCTGTAGATGCTTGGTGTCCAGGCACTGCAGCTCCCCAGCTGTATTATTCCACAGGCAGAAGTTGTAAAAGCCAATGCATTTGTCAGGGAGGTTCACCAGGTTTCCGGCTTCATACAGCAGTGCGTAGGACATCAAGGCCAAAGTCCCAACAGCCTCCAGTAAAATCAGCACGTGGAGCAGGTTCTTGGTGCGGCTCTGTTGCAGCAGACCCATCCTGGTGCCTGCATGCTTTCTTGGTACCATGGTAAAAGCTGCTGTGGGGATGCCTGTTGCAAAACATGAAGGGGGGGACCTCCTCAGTTGTTGCCTCTTATGGCACCCTTCCCAAGCTGGGCTCTGAGCCTTATGGCTGGGGTTTAGGGACTCCCCTTGCAAATAGAACCGGAGTGTCTCAGTCCTGCCTAGGACCGTGCTGCACATGTGTTACTGGGTTGAGGGGGGTGCATTTGGTGCACTCTGGTCACAGCAAAGGTGGCTTAATGGTGTCCCAGTGGACCAGTACTGGGAGGAGAGTATGACAGCTCCACACATGTCCTTTGCATCATGGTCTCACTGGAAGAGGCATTTGTCAGCAAACTGCAGGGATGGGAGGAGAGAAAAACTGCTGTCTGGTAAGAAGCAGGATAAGAGCTATCTGGGATAATGCCTTTCTTTCAGTTTTTATCAGACAAGGTGATCTTTGGACTACTGAATAAAGTGCAGACATGACAGGATCTGAACTGCAGGGCTCCCCTTGCCTCCCTGTCCTTGTCCTATAGCTCTAGAACACCCAGTGCCATCAATACCACCCATTTCCAGCATCTGAGCTTCACATCCAGGTCCTTGCATGCCTATAGATTTCTGAGCACAGCAGGACTGAATACCTGGAACTCTGCTACCCACTGAGGCTGGTAGACATGGTGCTCCTCTGTCTTGGCTGCCTGGGGACCAGTGCCCTACACAGATAGGCAGGTGCTGGGCTCAGAGAGGCACCCTGGATCCTCGTGCAGCCACTTGCCTTCCTCTAAGGCCCATTGACACGGGTGCTACTGAGACACACCTGTAATTGCCACTCACCTTGCTCCTCTCTCAGACTGGTTGGCAAACCTGACTGCTCCTCTCCCTGGAATGTGTACTGTCCTCTAGTGCTGTCCTGCAGGCTTCTGCTTTACACTGAAAAACAGGGAAGTGTCATCAGGAAAGGCTATCACTGGCTGCAGAGCCACATGGCATTGAAGCACTGTCCACCCAGGTCTGCAGAGAGGCATAAACACAGGACTCAGAGACCTTGGCTTCAAGCCCAGCCTCAGGCTTGAGGCTTTGCAATTAACTCTTCCTCCCTCTGACAAGCTTTATCTGCTGAGAATCATTTACCATTTTCCTTTAAGAAGTTCACCTTGGCCATCCTGTCCCCTTCCACTGCCTATTACCCAGTGATATATAATTTACTTAGGAACTGGACTCTGGGTCCCTTCCAGTTCAGAATAGTCTGTGAATCTGTGATATCCTGGACATCCTTCTAGACCATCACCCAAAGCTGATTGTGAATTTGGTACAGCCTCTGAGTTTTTAGAGTGCCAGGAGAGACTCCATTCAATCTGTACTCAGTGCCTGGTGGTGGTGCTGGTGACTAGAGACCTTTCAGTATTCCCCTCCCACTCCTCATCTCTCCCTGGAAACTTGGACATGAGGCATCCCTGTTTAATAAGCACAAAGATGAAGCTTCTCAGTCCCAAACTTCTTCCAGGAGAAGCACACACACAGCATGAAAGGAGGCCACAGCATCAGACACCAACCTGTCCACTTCCCCATGTCACTTTCCCCTCACTTCTTGTAGCCTCCCCTGGAGGGCTTCTTCTCAAAAGGCTTCTGGAGAGACTGGAAGATCACATGGAGGACACCCATTGTTCTGAATCTGCAACGAAGACTCAAGTAACCAGGAAAATATCTATGCCTGGGCACAGAGTGCTGCAAAATGAAACCTCCGGCAGACGTAATTTCACCATGGTTTGTATTTCCCCTTGTATTGTCCCTTGGTTTGTTTGTCTTACTCATGGTCTCCTGCATCCAGGCATTGCTGCTCTTCCTCTCCCTGTTCATAAGGGCTCACACCACTCATTGTTCTTCCTGCTGTCCTGCTTTACCCTCAGAGGAAGAACAAGCTGCACTTGGAGCTTGGCTGGCTGACCAGGTCTCCAGGGATTTCTGTTAGACCTCAGGGCTGGGACCACTACAGCCCAGCTGACTCTTGGCCCTGACCACCCACCAACCCTTACTGTTGTATTTCTTTAGACCAGTTTCCTAAGGAAGGCAGGCTTGTAGAAACATGGCTTTTTGTTCAGTCATCTCATGCTCACTCCCTCGGCATCCATAAAAAGTAAAAGCTATTAAAAATTGTCCTAGTTGCACATGTTTACTAGAGAGGGGACAGAGAACTAAATCCCTATCAGGTTTATGGTAACATCTGGCAGGGGTGGAGGACAGCCACCCAGAGACCCTGTGCTGCTGTGTGATCTCTGCATGTGTGGAGACCTGGGGAAAGCCCATGGTATCTGTGCTCTCTCCTCTGCTTTGAGGCTCATGCGTAAGGACATATTTTCCCAGTGATGTCCCTCTCTTCATGGTCAAATTACTGGCGTCTTTGTCTCCTGCTGCCTGCCCTGCCCAGCCCAACCCAGTAGGTAAATCCCTGTTCCTATGTGTGACTGATAGGACCAGAAACATGCCTGGGATGGCCCTGTGCCAGCTGGATAGCGAACTGGCCTGGAGGCAGTGAAGGCTGAGACCTGGCACCCTGCCACAGTGCAGCCACAGACGCGACATTTGTGAGCTCTGCAGCTCATCACTGAGGTAGGTTTGGCAGCAGCCTGGCTGAGAAGCAAGGGACAAACAGGAAGGAGCTTTCACCCAGTGTACAGATTGGGTTCTTCCCAGCCAGACAGAGGCAGTCTGGCTACCTCTAAGGAGTGTCTGTGCCTTTGGATTGGAGAGACTGTGGCTCTTCCTCAAAGGTGCAAGAAAGAAGAACCTGATCATGGCACAGTGAGCCCCAGCCTGGAGTCAGCATCCTTGTTCCTGCACTGGCATTGATGGAAACACTGGGTTTCATCACAGGAGAGTCTCAGTCTCCCTGGCAGAGAGAGGCCCCATGTGAATGGCTCAGGAGCTCCCTGAGGTCTTTGTGTGGGAGATAAGGCCCCTAGGCATCTTCTGTGCTTTTGGGACTGCACAGCCCTTTCCTCTGCTGCTCACAGGCAGGTGGGCAACCTTGTCAGGCTGGGGCTGTGCCTTCCTCCAGCAAGCAGCTGGCAAAGCGCCTGGGTAAGGGGACAGGAAGGGACACAGCTGTGGCACAGGATCTGGCCTCTGTGCAGGGACAAGCATCTCAGTGAGCCACTGGATGCCGCTGCAGTTGAGACTGAGTGCAAAAAGCTCTTCCTTTTGCACTGAAGAGCCCCCAGACAATTTGACTTTCTCGCCTCCCCTGTCCCTGGCTGCTGAAGGGAGAAATGCTGTACAAGACTGATGGGAGTGTCAAGCTTTGGACATGACACTTCAAGACATCTGTCCTGTCCCTTCACCAGCTCCCTACCCCGGCTATCCGGATCGTGTTTACCCCTCAGGCAGGATTAGCTGCAGAGAAACCACGAGTGAAGAAAGGCCACTGACAAGCTAAGGATTGCTGGCAAACAGAAACCAACCAGCAGCAAATGGAACAGACTGTGGGGGAAGTGCCCTTAAAGCGTCTTAAAGCAGAGGAAGGACCCTCCAAGACATCTGCACCCTGCAACACCACTTCTCTTGGCAGCTCTCCCCAGTGCCAGTGACATTAAAAAAGTGGAGGATAGTCTCAGTGGCGGATACTTACGGGCTGCCCATTTGGGTGGGTGTGGAGCTGACACACGCTGGAGAGGGGCTGTGGTGCCGTTCTAGGAGCCCAGCGGTTCTGCAGCTGCTGCCGGTCCTGCACTGGCTGGTGTCACAGCGTGCACAGCCTGTTTTGTGGCGTGCAGATAGTTATCTGCTTTCTCTTTCGCTTCTGAGGGCAGTGCTCTTTCCCGATAGCGAGTCAGCTGCGATGGCCAAGAAAACAAGCCCAGCTCCGCAACCTGAGCCAGGGTCAGGCTTGCGTTTCCTTTCCTTCTCCCTGCTGCGCTAACCAGCACGGAAAGCTCGCCGGGCTAAGCTCACCCAGATTGTTGTGCTGTTCGAGTAGCTTGGGTGTCCATGAAAGCTTAGATTAATTTGTTTAGTTTTGTTTGGATACTTCTTTAGAGGTGACTGACCATCCCAGGATGGATCTCAGTACCTCAGCTCTGCCAGAGTTCACTGCCAACACGGCCCTTCGTGCACTCTGGACGCTGATCCCTCCCTCCCTCTGCTTCCCAGCCACAGCGTCGCCCGAGTTCCTCGCCTGCAGCCGCCGTGGTACGCAGGCACAGTGCAAGGTGCCAAGGTGCTGCTGCTACAGGCACCTCGAGTTATGTAAGGGGCAAAATTCTCCTTCCTATAGTCCTCCCGGGCCAATCTGTGACTGTTTGTCCTACTACCAGTCTTTGTGGTGGGGTTAGCCCTTCTCTGTTAGGAGGGCTGTGTGCTGGGGGTTGATGCATGCAGGACATCTAACCGTGAAGCTGTTCACAGATTTTCACCTCGTAATCCCATGCTTAGGCATGGTCTAGAAATGCCCATGTGGTACACATGTTGTGAGCCTGTAATACTGGCACTCACATCCAAGAGCACAAAGTGGAAAGAAATACAGGAGGAAGTCCTAGGAGAAGCTCAGTGGACAGAGGCATGCAAGTGGCGGTGGGGGGGATGCCTTCCTATGTGCCTCTGTGCGTGGAATAACTTCAGCATGGAGAGGGACAAGGGTCTGGATCAAGGGAGTTCAGATTATGGGTGGCTTAGGCAGGGGTTCTGGTGGGTGGGGATAGAAATCTTGCAGCAGATGAAATTCAGCAGTCCAGAGCTGCTGAGCTGAAAGTGGAGAAGGAAGCCTTGGGGCTGAACATGGCCATCTTCTAGCACTGGGGCTGATGGCTAGGAAACTGAGGAATAAGAGACTTCTGAGGCAAGACCTCTGTTGCAGTGCAGTAACATGCTTTGGCAGGAGGCATGTTTCTGCTCCCAGGAAGGGGGGGTCTTGCAGTTTGGCAACATTATGTTAATTTTTCTGTCATTCAGGGACAAAAAGGGTATATAATTTTGATCTGGTGGTCAATCAGCTCCTTAGCTGATCTCAGCACCACAAGCGAAGCTGCTGTATCACTGCCATGGGCAGAAGGCACAAGCAGCTCCTTCAAAAATATCCTTGCTTTCACACTGGGGTCCTGTTTGATGGTGTAATCAGGATGACTGCCACACTGGGTCTGCTCTGCCATGCCAGAGCACTTCTCCCTGGAGCCACTGTCCCCCTAGAGGGGCGGCTGTTCCAACACCAGCACACCATGTAACCTGACATTGCTTCCACTGGGCACACACCTTCCTTTTTTGGCCTTTTTCCCCAAGAGAAGATCCTTTTTGGCCTTTTTCCCCAAGACAAGATCCCTGTTCAGCCAAGCTGCTCTGCTACCCCGTCTGCTTGACTTCCAACATTTTGGAATTGCTGGCTACTGTGCCCTTAGGAGGTGATGTTTAAAAAGTTTGAATGTTTAAAATACACCATTTGGGAATGCTACTCTTGGAGTGTGGCATCTCACTGGCCAGAGCTGGTTGCCTGATTGTGCACCTGTGGCAGAAGCACTTTACAGTTTTTCCTGAGGAGTCCCATGTCTCCTCCCTGGCAGGGTCTCAATCTCTGCTGCTTTTAATGCCTCCTAGGATACCATAGCTGCCAAAAGGGAGAAGTCCAGTCAAAATTTGACTCAAGACATGCCCTTGGTCCCAGCTGACTTTCTGATTCTGGAGGCTTCCTTCCCCACCTTTGGCAGCTTCTCTAGCAGTTCCCCTGCCTTCTCCTTCCAGGTATTTGGGCAGGGAAGATTGTGCCCGAAGGCTGGGCAGGATGCAGTATGCCTTTCCATTCTCCTTCCTGGGAACCTTTTACAGGTATGCTCTGACTGCCTTTTGGGCTTTCAGTGCCAAAGTCTGATGATGGAGAAACTGGGGAGGATAAGTCTGGTGGGTATGAGGTGAGCAGGGGAATGATCATCAACATGTCTCACGGAGAAAGAATGGGAACGGGGAGGAGAAAGAGAGCAGGGCTTCTACCTGTGTGCCTGGGAGTAGGAGAGACTGGATGAAGTGTTTGGGCTGCTGGGTCCTGTTTTCTGTGGATGGGAAGGAGATCACATTCCAGGAGCCAGCTTCTACTAAATTCCTGAGTGAGTGTTGCTTCCTGGAATTGTTTCCTGAAGCGGACATATTTTTTTGTGTGCATTAAGAAGGTTTATGTGGTTTTAAAGTGGAATTAACTGCTCTGCAGTTCTTGATTTCTCCTTGTGCAGTTAAAGCAAACACTCAGCAGTTTAGTAATATTATTACTTAGGAAAGCGTAAGATGAACTGAGACTTTGCAAAATTTTTTGCTGATTTTACTCTCCTGTTTTAAAAGTAAACTACTACACTTTATCCCACATATGATTCTGTGGGATAATACTCTAGTCTGGCTATAAAACACAGAAACAAAATAATAAAACACAGAAACAAAATATTAAGAGCTGTGATATTTATTTTTTTGTTTGTTAAATTTCCTCTAAGCAATGCCAGTTCTGGGAAAGCCTAGAAGAATGTGATCTGTTATGTTTCTCCCCTTGGTTACAGTACATAATATCTAGGAATGAAATTTGCAGCTGGGGGAGGAAGTGCCAAGCCTGCAAAAAAACATTTAAAGAGACATTCTTTATTAATCTCCTCTTTGGCAGGCAAGCTCTTACTGATCATAACACTTCAATGTACTCAACTGTACCGTTCTTAAATTGTAGTTGAGCTCTACTAACTGGACTGCCTGTCCCACAGAAGACAATTACAGTTGTAATGGTCTGTGCCCAGACCTAGAGGCTGGGAAAAGGGGCTCACTTTTAACTTCATCTCTCCCTCCATACTGTGGGTGGCTGATATGTCTTTTTTTCTCAAGAGCTGGATCTCCAGTGCCTTGGCTGGTGTGACAGGCACATCCCCCACACTGATGGCAGCTGAGAACCACATGTCCTCAAGTGCCCAAATCAGTGCTGCAGGCCAGGCCCCTGAGCTCTCTCTCTCAGCATGACCCGACCCAGCAGATGTGTCTCAGCAGCTGGACATGGGCCAGGTTAGCTGCAGCTGGCTTTAGTGCTGCACTGCAAACACCTCCCCTCACAGAACCACTGGGTGATGTCTGTGATCAACAGGTGAGATGAGCCAGGTCTGGCAGTGTATGGTGTGGTGTGTCCCTTGAGAAACAAAGAATATTTACAACATTTTTAAAAACATTTTATTCTAAGTAAAGAGGTGGCTGTTACAGTTGATACTGAATTTCATTAATAATATTTAACTCAATGAGCACATTATTACAAATGCAAGTGCCCTACTGCCAGTAGGAGAAAATGGTTTTTAACCTCTCTGGAATTTGCCTTGGGTTTATTTTTTCTCCAGTGAGATTGTTGTAAATCAGTAAATCATAGTGTAGTAATGTGATTAAGACAGTTTAAATTACAGAAAAATGAGCTCTTCCAAATGCTGAGATTGAAGGAAATCCAGCCAAAGAACTCCATACTTATCTTTGTGGAACATACTCTTTATTGAGGTTTGAGGTTATAGAAAAAATGGCTTATTGGTATTTAAAGAATTAAAAAAACTTGTAATATTTACTTTTTTTCACAGGCTCAGGTACAGAATACTGAATACTGAAATATCTTAGTTTGAATATCAATACCTTGAGTCTGTGAAACAGAGTCGTGCCTTGAGTTTCTGAAAAACAATAGCAACAGGAATGAATTATTATGACTAACAAGTTCCAAAAGACTGGTTGACAAGAAGGTATTATCTATCAGTCAGCCACTTTAGGGGCTGTTCAGGAAGCGTTCATTAGGCTGGGACAGAGGAATCTTGGTAAGAGTTCAATAACAAATGGGGAAACACGTATCATGTAAAGGCTGGTATTTTTCTTTTGGTGACAAAACTGTTGTGTAAAAATTTTTTTTTGTGACAAAATTGTTTTAGTGACAATATTGTTTGTATATTTTCATATATGTGTCTCCGATCAGAAAAAACCCAACTGCCACAGCATGTTCCTCCTGGGATGAAAAATACGGGTATTTTTGCTTTTATGACTTCTGTTCTTAGCCGTGCTGTGAAAATGTTCTCCTGATATTTTAGGGTGTTTTTTTTATGGTGTCTTGGTAAGCATTTTGATTCATAAGGGAATATTACAGTTACAAATTTAAAAAGCCCCAACAAACCAAACCAACAATTGTAAATAAACATGATAATCACAATGCCAGAAGGAGTACATGTAAGAAAGCTGCTCAAGGTTGAATCCGTTATGTTGTTCTTTTCAGCAAATATTTACGAACCTGGATACAAACATATCATATTGACAAGGGAGGTCACTTCCTACTCAGTATGGCTTGTTTATTTTTAGTCTGGGAACTGGACAGCTATTTTTTCTCAGTAGTATGAATTGCCACTGCTCTGTTTTTCATATGTTTGGGCTTCTGAAAAGAAGAATTGGCATAAAATTCAAAAAGTTGAGAAATGCTGGTCTACCTCTTGAACCAATGAAAGCATTAGCAAAGCAGTCAGCATTATAAAGTGTATGTACATAAAAAGAATAATGCCCATTGAAATATCAACGTGACTTCTTTCCAAGTAACAGTTTGCTTTCTCCAGGTAACAATAACAGTGCTCCTTGAGGCCATATAGTTTTCTAGGCTGAACGTCAGCAAAGTGTCATTGAGGGCTACGTACAGCTCCAGCATGAATTTCTGTCAAAAATTGTACTGCAGCTGTGATATTCCTTGCTATTCACTTCTTTTCAAATGCCTTTAACAACTTTCATTAGGATCAACAACAGAAATGTTGTTAAGTCTTTTGATCTAATAAACTTACCTAGTCACTGAAGCAGATCCACATGGGAAAATGCACATACATAACCATGAGAGGAAGAGAAGTTTCTTGAAGGGATCATGATCAATTTGATAAACTGTTGTTACCTGCTTCACACAGTAACAGCATCACCCTGACACATTTTGCTTCTGGTACACATCCAGCAAAAGAACTTTATTAATTGCATGAAAGATGAATGAATGCAATCCATACAATTTAATGGCATGAATTATGTTTTCACTCATATTTTAGCACCAAAATGACAGAACAGAACCTAGTGAAGCTCAACCTGACAAATAGTTTTGCAGTGTAT